TTCATCCCGACTGTTAACAACTTCAATGCTATCCTTGAGCTCGGCCTCGTCACCATCATACACCACTTGCATCATGAGCATGTGGGGGTAGAGACTCAAATATTCTACACGTCGATGCTGGAATAGACGTCTAGGCTGCTGCATTCCTCACTGGGCACTGTCTACGGAAGCCCCTTCGTATTCATCTCCGCACTAGCATGGTAGCAAGGGCCAATATACCTGATCGGTGGAAACTAGGTAGGTGCCTTACCCAAGATAATCTGGTCAAATATCGGGGTATGCCTCCGGGGAAATGTATCAAAACGGGCCAACTAGAGTCCGGGCTCTCCCTATCCCTCGTGAAGTGTTCCTAGGTGTAGGTACATCATCACGAGGCGAGAAATATGGAATGTTAACCGTCACGACTGCATCCTCTGATAGTCCGATGGGCGTTGCCCTTGCAACTCTTGCTTGAATCCACTTCTATACCAGTGGTACTAACCTCTCGGTAACTCTCCACCATTCTTAGGTCGACTGTATGACCTGTCGTGACAGCTGTTGTTCATTTTGTTCTCAACGAGCGCAAATGGCGCCGAAGAATTGATATTAGAATGTGGCTGGGTAGCGTATGGATCAGCCAGACTCATGGGAAGAAGCCTAAGAAGCATCAATGGAACCAGTTGCCCATAACCTAATTTGTTCTCGTCCACGGCGTTCGTTTCTTGGTCTGCCTGCCCTGGCATCACCCAGTGCCTGGCAAACATGGGTCGATCAAACACCCAAGCTAATATGCGTATCCAGGGAGCATTACCAGTCCAAATTGAAGGTCGGGGCGGCGAACCGTCACCCTCGCCAGAGTTGGCACTATCAGCACGCACAGGTCCTTCTAGGGCATCATTCGATCCCGAATCGCGTGGCTCTGAGGCTTTTGCACCATCAAGATTGGTCTTGCTGGGCTCGTCAAAATGAAGACTAGGTTCCGCCCAAGCTTGACGTGCTTGAAATGTGGAGATGCCTGAGGGAAAAAAGTGCTGTACGAGCAAGCAACTGGAACAGCCAGGTGTTGTGTATTATGACGGGCATGTGATCCGGCTTAAAGATGGGCAGCCGTAAAATAGGAACCGTTTTTACGAATGAGAAACATTCTCCAGCTTTGCCAGACATAGCAATTTGACGAGTAATGCATCTCCGCTGAGTTACGAATGGTCGGGATAATCATGATTCCAATGATCAACACGAAGGAGGGGAAGACTCATTCATGTCCTAGGCAATTCAGAAATGACAGCCTGGTTGGGCTCAATGACGAATTGAACCGCGCACAGGATAACGCCTGCAGATATTGGACAATATGGGCTGTATTAGGACGCTGAGGGGGGGCGGGACAGTGATAGTGTTTGGTTGGTGGGAAGGCAGCGGATTCACATGTCTAATAGCTGGCCTGCATTTTGTGAGATCAATTGAGCGTAGGTTGAGTCAATGTTCAGCCCATAGAAGCGAACACACAAGTGAGAACTGTACTCTGCGACAAGTCGACAGTGGGGATCCAGACGAATCAGAGATAATGCCAACTGATGCCGATGAATAGCGGTACGTTAGCTTCATCACTTGATGCAGCCGTGACCTTGCTCGAACGGTCTCAGGCTGATGAGTGCATCCGCCACTGACTAGGAAAGCGATCGAGGGCGAGGCTTCCAGTCCCCTTCCCGTCTAGCAGCTTCGGAGGAAAATTGAAACGGATACCCCAACGATGGGCCTGCAATTGGCCTCGAATCGTCTGAGGCTTCCACAACTTTCGGTGATTATGCTTCAACCATCGAAGTCGCCGAAATAATGACGAAGTCGCTGCGCGAATGCGGTTTCTCCAGCGGAGCCTTGCAAGCTGTCTGGGGTTCCTAAACAGAATGTTGGAAGACCAGCCTTCCGTTTGAGAGAATGATTTATGGCCAGGCACAAGAAAGCCTCACATGACCAAGGTGGAGATGATAATATCGTGCTGAGTTGATAAATCAGCTACCCAGCCTCAGTATATGCCTTTTGGAGTACTCGTAGAAGCAGCCGAGGGAAGCGGAATGGGGCATTTCGTCGAGGGTGACAGACGTCGAGGCGTATGCAATAGGTGGGGCATCAAGGTACGATAAGCTCCACGACGAAACGGCAAGGCTTATCGAACACATGGTTCTCGACTCCGGTGAAGCTCCAGCCTCTAGCACCAGCTAAGCTTCCTTGATACGCGCCGGCTTCGACGTCAATTGCAACCAACACTACAACCGCAATAACTCCCGCTTCGTCACTGCATAGCTTTCTGGTATAGACGTTACCTCTGGCACATCGACAAGTCTGCTCCAAGCCGTGTTCGCTTTAGGAATCATGTCGGCCAACATGGATCGCAGCTTGGACGAGATCCTTGCGGAGAAGGTAGCTCGGCGGCAACCTTGCGCGGCAGTTAGTCAGCCCTGCTAACTCAGATATAGAAGAGCGATCAACCTCGCAACCGCCGACGAGGTGGCGGAGGCGGTCACCGCGATGGCGGCCGAGATGGCGGCCGAGATGGTGGCCGGGATGGCGGTCGTGACAGCGGTCGTGATGGAGGTGGCCGGTCCTACAGGCGCGACGAGCGTTACGACTACCCTCGTGACGGTGTCAAAAAGGTGACTATTTCCCAGCGGCGCCGCTCATCAATTGAGGTTTCTCTAGCTAACGATACATCGAATAGGTTGCCCTCCCTCCCTCCCCCTCTCTTCGAGCGCGACAATACGCGTGGCTCGCGACCATCCCTGTGTAGCCAATCCCTCACTGGTCGACGAACATAGCCATTGTTGCATGACGAGACCTGGCTAACCGATGTTTCTACGCCGCTCAGTCTTACCGCGACGACTCGCGCCACCTTGACAGGTAGGTTGTACAGCTGTCTTCGCCTCGACACAGATCAATCGCTAACCGCAAACCTTAGCGAATGGGTTCATGACCGTTACGAAGAAGACTACAGTACAACATCCCTGATCACCACCTCTGTCGATTGCCAAGTCCTAACGACGCCTTTCAGACCCCCGACGTTCTGCGCCTCACAACCGCCGAGAGTCTCCAGAACACCCGTACGTCCACCAACGGAGTAAAGTTGACGTCTGGCTGACCACCGGAACTACAGTGACCCTACTTCATCGAAGCTGAAAGTCGAAAACCTCCACTACGAACTCACAACTGAGGAGCTTGAGGTGGGAATACGCAAACAGCTGATGTTTCGCGCATGCGCTAACAAGAAGCGAAGGGCTTGTTCAATAGGATCGGGCCTGTCGTCAGGCTGAATCTTCGCTACGACCGCGCGGGTCGATCTGAGGGCGTTGCATATGTCACTTATGAGCACCCTGACGATGCCCGGCAGGCGATTCGGGAGTTCGATGGTGCCAACGCCAAATGGTTCGTCCATGGCTCGCAACTCATTGGCGTAACGACATGGACGACTGACAACTTCACAGGCCAACCGATCCGACTCTCAATTGTGCCCAACGGACGTGACTCGCGCCTTCGTGGCGGACGCAACCCCTTCGACACTGCCGTGATGCCGGGCCGTCCCCTCGCTGACCGCATCTCAGTGCCGTACGGTCGGTCCCGATCTCTCTCGCCGTCCCGCAACCAGGACCTCGATGACGCTGTTACTAAGGGCATTGATCGCTATGTTCCTGGCAGGCGCTCCCGTAGCCCTATGCCCAGACGACGCGGCGGCGGCGGTGGACGCCGTCCCGGTGCTCGCAGAGAGGAGGGTAGAGACCAGCAGGGAAGCCGCGGTCCCGAACGCACAAGGGGCGGCCGGCCCAAGAAGACGGCAGAGGAGCTCGACGACGAGATGGCGGATTACTTTGGCGGGGGCTCAGCTGGCCCTGCCGAGACTGGTGCTGCTGAGAAGACGGCCGCTCCTGCTGCTGTTGATGATATGGATATGATTGAGTGATGTAACAGAAAAGTTAGGGAATGCAGGGCCGGCTCAGACATCGGAAGTTACGCTATAAATGTAGATCGGATGCTCCTCCAGCAAGAACAATCAGAAATCGAGATATTACGAATGTTGTCACAAAGAACTTGGAGAGAGAGGATGACATGGCGGCTTTCAAGAGGCATTATGTCGATGCTACTGATACGGAGAGCTAAGGCTTTCACATTTTGCTTCTTCACTATGTGGGTCGCCAATATTAATTATATCGAGTCCGAGAGAGGAGACTCGTCAATATAACATACCTGTAGTGAAGGTCGTGGTTGGTCTTTTAGCTCGCATATGTGCCTCACACGATTTTGCTCACAGTACGTGCAGATAGGCCTGCTTGTCAGTAGTCACCAAGTTCCGCCAAAATATCATTCCATCTACAGCTATCATACAAATGAGCTTTCGCTAGCATAGAAAGCTGGCTTTACATTTAGACTCGGTGCGTTCTGAATACCAAGTAAGAAGGCAGCGTTATAAGCACGCCGAACCCCGGATGACTTCTAGTATCAACCGTCCGGCTACCTACCTGTGTGGTCGTCCCCTACTGGAATGGGCCTCGTTGAGATGTATGACTCGGGGATATTGACCTTCGTTTGTAGCCGCCCCATCTCGCCATTATGCGGTCCTGCAGCATCCATGTTGTAGACGTACATGCACTCTGACGACACCGCACCGAACTTTCCAGGCAAGATGGTCCAAGATACACCACCGAGCCCCACCTTGGGCTTCTCGTGAATGTGTTTCGACACACCAAACGCGTCGAGCTCGCCGCATATGTGTTCCGTCAGCGAAAAGTCGGCCTGGCGAGGCTCAGGCAGCTCTCCGACCGCAGTGGTGAAGAACTGGATGGTCGAGCCCGGGGCCACGACGCCAGAGTCGAGAGGTGCGTCCTCGCCATCGCCCCCCTTCTGGCCATGGAAGGAGCGGATGAACGACTCGAGGTCCTCCTCGTCCGTCAGCGAGAACTGCGTCTCGGTGTCGAGCGACAGCAGACCACTGTTTCTTGCCCCAGCCGCCGCCGCCGCTGATGACCTGGAAG